GTGAAATATATTTATGTTTGTGGTTGTAATGTGACAAAATATGGAAAAGTTCAAGGGGTATGAATACTTTTGCAAACCACTGTATTAATGTGTGAAAGACTGTCTAACAAAATCATTTAGTTTTGTTACCAATATTATTATTCTTAAACTTTAAGTAATGTCTTGATGAAATTCAGTGATGTAGTAGTTGTATCTTTTTTTTGTTGTTGTTGTTGTTAAAAAAATTATTACATTTTTATTGAACATAACATTACAAATTAATTTTCATAGGAGTGGACAGATGTATTCATATCTCGGCCCACCCCTTCTCCTGCAACTTTATTTCCATCACTTCTTATTCATCAAGAAAATTAATTTCTTTAAAAGGAACGTGTCCAACAACACTGTCACCTGCAAGTTTCAATTTTTGCAATTTAAAATCTTTTAAACTTCTGACAGTTTTCTCTCAAGATTAAACTGTTTGTTGAGTTTGCCCTGAAAACCTGTTGTTTATGGTGAAGAAAAAAAAGTGATATTGTATTTTGAAATTCTCTAAATCGAATTGATTTAGTGTGAATGAATGATTTTTTTTTTTGTGGGGGGGGCACTATATAAGTAAGTTTTATATATAGTTCAGTCTATTTATCATTTTTACCATATTCTACAGTGTAGATTGATTGGTAAATTATGCAAAGATGTCATTTAGTGGCTGTTGCTTTTTGAGGAGTTGGGCAACAGTGGCTGCATGATGGTGATGTTGGATATCACCAATTTCCTTTCTGATTCTGAGACGGTGTAAAACTCATCTGGTATTGGCAAGAATTTGTCGATACGATGCATATCATGACAGAGGGGTCACGATACGATATATCCTGATATATTGCGATACTATAAGCAAGGCGATATATTGAGATATTTTTGGTCCAAAAATTTTATTAAATATAAACCGCTTACTGGGAAAAAAAATTCATTGTCTCAGAAAATTCTAATATTACATAGACATACTTTTGATACATTTAGCTGTGTTCTGCTTTGTGTTTTATTTTATTTGTTTCTGATAGGTGTTTTTCCTAATCATATACAAAAACAGGGGAGCAAATGAGACAATCAAACCAGGTTTAGAATCAAAGTGAGGAGAACGTTGGACAGGAAGTCTCTTGTACACCCAAATCCACCGTTCTGAGAGACCCCCTGTAGTTCAACCTCTTTTATTCAGTTTTTC